GGGCAGTTCAATAGACCCCAGTTTTCAGGTGATATCAATGCCATGGGGATGAGACCTCATGGTCTCAGGTAAGCTCTTTGATCTCTTAAAACCAGGATATTATAGGGGTAGTTCTACATTTATAGAAATTGTTAAATAGTGGGTTGGAGGTTTTTGGATGAAAAATCATCTGTGTTGTCTACAGTAGCTGGTAATCTTCCTGATGTCATTATGTGCAGTGAATTTTCCTGTAAGTGTCTGTAACATTAAAACCTGTCTTTTACACTGGGACTGTTCTACCCTGTCTTTTGTTGGGAATTAATCAGAAACTGCACTACTGGAGGAAGTTATGTGACCTGAAGGATTTTGTTGCCCCTAGTTCTGGGGCTTTTATGGTTTTTTTTAATGAAGGGTCTGACATTATCTTTGGTGTCTTGAGAATGAGTAATATAGTATTATTGATTTAATTTATAATGAATATGTAATCAAATGTCAGCTTCTGCCTGTGCTATTTTTACATTGAAGGCTATGATGTAAATTGAGTGCCAGGATTGACATATGTTGCCATCTTGGGAATTACTATTTTCAGTATTTTTTATTTATTTCAGTAATTTCTAATCCACACAATATTATTTTATGCTCTGAATCGCATTAACATGCAGTTTATTCACTGAGATAGTTCTTACTGTCAGAGTTTTCTGTTATTATTATTATTGAAATAGAAAACAGGTTGTTTATTAAACATAATTAAAGCAATTATTTTATTGTAGTCATAAAGCTCATTTAAATGTAAGCATAATTAGTCAAAATATTTGTTTAAATATCTTAATGAATGCATCATGTAAATCATTTTGGTGAATAGTTATTTAGTCAAATATGCCAGACTAGGCAGTCCTGAGAAAAAAGATTATTTAGTCTTTCATACTTTGTTTTAGATATGGGTTTCCAGGAGGTGGCCATGGTCCACCATCAGGTCAAGAACGTTTCCTTGGTCCTCAGCAGCCAATGCAACGCCCTGGAGTTCCACCACAGCTGAGAAGATCTCTGTCTATTGATATGCCTCGGCCAGTGAACAACCCACAAATGAGTAATCCCTCTGGGATCTCTCAACATTTCCCCCCCCAGGGAATTCCAGTTCAGCAGCACAATATATTGGGTCAGGCGTATATCGAGTTACGTCACAGAGCTCCTGATGGGAGGCCAAGGCTGCCTTTTAATCCTGCTGCTGCAAATGTTATGGATGCAGCAGCACAACATCAACGACATCCAGGGTTTATACCCAGGCAGGAGTTTCCAGGCCCAAGACAGGCAGAACCACTGAGACACAGTTCTCAAGGTATACCTAACCAGTTGCAGATATCTACAGGTTTGGAGCATATGTCACAATCCCAGCAGGATCAAATCAATCCTGACAACCCATCTGCACTTGTAATACGTTCTCTAAGTCATCCACCAGTTGCTGATGCATTCCCTGGACCACCTTTGGCTGCATCTGCACCAAGTGATGAATCTGCAAATCTGCAGATTCCCAACCAGCCAAGTGATGGTCTAGAAGAAAAGCTTGATCCTGATGATCCTGCTGTAAAAGATTTGGATGTGAAAGACCTTGATGGAGTTGAAGTCAAGGATTTAGATGATGAGGATCTGGAAAATTTGAATCTAGACACAGAGGATGGGAAAGGAGATGAGCTGGACACTTTAGATAATTTGGAAACCAATGATCCTCACCTAGATGATCTTCTAAGATCCGGGGAATTTGATATAATTGCATACACAGACCCAGACCTTGATGTGGGGGATAAGAAAGGAATGTTTAATGAAGAACTAGACCTTAGTGTCCCCATTGATGACAAACTAGATATCCAGGGCAAGACAGAAGAACCAAAACAGAAAGAACAAGGTGACAGAACTGTTTCCCCTCCTGAGAGTCAGTCTCCACAGAAGAAATCTGTTACAGAAAATGAAATTAAAACAGAAGTTCTTTCCCCAAAGACTAATGAGGAAAAGAAGAATGAAAATGAAAATAATGATGGAAATGCTGAATCCACAAGTACTCAACAGGCTACTGAAATGGAGTTAAAGGATGGAGAAAAAGCTCCTGCACAGCCTGCTAACCCAGAATTCCCTGACAAAACTACTACTGTTCCTACTCAAGAAACAACTGTGTCTAGTCCAGATGCTCAGGGATCTGCTCCACTGCCTGTTCAAGGAGCAGTAAGTTCCTGCAGTATAACTGGGTCCACACCAGTCCTCTCAAGTTTGCTAGCTAATGAGAGCTCAGATAATGCTGAAGCAAGGACTGTAGGATCTCCATCTCAATCTTTGCCAACAACACAAATGAACCATGGATCAGGTATTCCACAAACACTAATGACACCTGGTGGACAGATCTTGGAAAACACTATAAATCCAAGTTTGGCCATGGTTCCACGGATGAACCATAATTTTCCTCAAGGGTCACCAAATGCAGGATTTATTCAGGGTCAGTCATCTAATCATAACTTTGGGACAGGACAGACATCTAATCAAACTGTGACTGTAACAAACCGTCCTGGTCCCAGTGGCATATCTGGTCCCCAGCAGATAATGCTCCCTCAACCATTAGCTCAACAACAGAATCGAGAGAGACCACTTCTGCTAGAGGAACAGCCACTTCTTCTGCAGGACCTTTTGGATCAGGAAAGACAGGAGCAGCAGCAGCAGAGACAGATGCAAGCCATGATTCGCCAACGTTCAGAGCCATTTTTCCCCAATATTGGTATGTGGGATGGTCTGTTTGTCTGTGATTCAGTCACTCAACAGTAAATAGTTCAGTAATCTGTAGCACTGAAAGAAGCAGGTAGATACCTGGAGCTTGAAGAGGGGCATAACAAAAATCAATCTGCCTAGTAGGTACAATGGGAATGTGGAAATTCAGTATGTAGGTGGAATTCTGAATTCCATGGCAGTTCTCCTGTTGACAGCACTAGGATCAGGGAAACTCTGCATTACTGCTCATTTTTTTTACATTATATCTGTCATATATTTGCTTTATGCCTTAGGTTTTCATACATGGTATGGAGTAAATGCACCCTTCATAAACAAAATTAAATATTCAAGTGCAATAGCTGACTTTTTGATTTATTTTCTCTGTATGGTTGTTCTGTTACATTTTCTGTAGTGTTTAGTGTGTCTCAAGGAAAGGGGTCATGAAAAGCTGTATTACTAGCTCACAGTTTTGGCAAGTCCCAGAAATACTACAAATAATTCAGCAGGTACAAAGAGTCTTTAAAAGAAACATTTTTCCTGTTTAATAGGACAGAGCAGTTTGAGCATTCAGATCAAGACCATTGCTGTCATTAATTAATTATGAAATTTGAGAAATGTGTTGGTTATAACTACACTGGCCATCAAGGCTGTTTGTTCAAAAGACAAATTTAACCTACCCCCTAAGTCACAGTTCCATGTTTTTAGTGGCACTAGGATGTGCTATGGCCACCTCAGGTGGCTAAGATGACCTCCAGACCTTCCTTCCAACCTCAGCCCTTATGTACTCCCATTTATCCTGCTCTGTGGGAGGCACCTAACAGGAGAGATAGCAAAGAGGCAGAGCTCACCATACATATAGTCTGTTTAGAAGCTGTGAGGGGCACATGCCTTGATGCCTGTAGAGCTGCTGGTAACTACTGAGTGACTGTTTTCTCAGAACGCAAGTGGGGGTGTGTCAGTTTTGCCAACTGAACTCACAGAACAACTCTTCTTCCTGATCCTTACACCTATAAATAGAAATTATTTACCTATTGGGTCATAGGCCTGATTTGGTCTGAAGCCCTTCTTAGACTGACCTGCTTTTCTTTGTGTTGTGGTTGAAAACAAGAACACTTGCTTCTGGAGTGAGTTTCCTTTGAGGATATATGAAACTATGTATTAACCATGACTTTCAAAGCGGAGAGGACAAGTAAATTTAAGTCGTAATGCAATTATGTGTTTTAATGATGATTTACACATTAAATAGACCTGAACAACTTGTAGTGTTCAGCTATGTCATTCACTTGTACTGTTTTTCTTTTATAGATTTTGATGCAATTACTGATCCCATAATGAAGGCAAAAATGGTAGCTCTTAAGGGGATCAATAAAGTCATGGCCCAGAGTAACATGGGGATGCCAACAATGGTTATGAACAGGTAGGCAACACTTAATACCATTGTTTAGGACTACAAAATATAAAAGGAAATGATAGAGCTAGGGGAAATGACAATTTTTTAAGTGGAAAAAGATCCTTTTGTCACATAAAAAAGTATTAAAATGCATCAGACTTGGATTCCAGTGGCAATGTCAGCCTGGCTTCAATGTTGATGCTTCCCTTGTTTTCCCACTTACTGATGATGTGATGACACATCTCCCACATATTGGGTTTGAAACCCGTTGATGGGCGAGTAATGGTTAAACTTCATGGTAATTTAACACTCTTAGCCCAAGTAATGGAAGTTTCATCCTCTCTGTAAATCCATTGAGGACACAAGAAGCTATGAGCTTCACAGACTTCACCATGACTGCCTTTACTGTAGGTGGGGAGTCAATGGGCCAGAGAAGATCTGCACCTTTTCTTTCTGTGTGCCCTTAAAACAGCATGTTTTCTCTTCCTTAAGACATACCTTGCCAGAGGTGCACATTTACCTGGCTCTATTTGACTGTACTGGTGCCTATGATATCTAAATCCATTAAATCTGTTTTTTTTTTGTTTTTTTTTTAAATAAAACATATTGAAATACAGATACAGCTGGTTTTTTGGTGCATCTTCACTGTTTTAGCCCAGATCCTCATGTTTACTTCATCTCTCTGCAAAGTGTAAAATGCAACTGTTTCGGCCAAGTGTTGTTCCATGAAATGAGAATTAACTGTTCTTCAGACATTGGAAAAGTTTGGTAGAGAAGTTCAAGCAAATGTCTATAAAATATTTGGAAGCTTTGTGTAACTTCAGGGCAATACAAAAGGTTGTCTCTCCCTTAAAATACCTACCAGTTATTAATTAACTGTCTGTTTATATATCCATAGGTTTCCCTTTATAGGTCAGCCAGTGCCAGGGGCTCAGACGAGCGAAGGCCAAAATCATATGCAGCAGGCAATTACACAGGTAATGCAACTTGATATGGGTTTTAAACAAAAGTGTTAATTCATAGTAACTAGTTTTTGAGGGTTTTTTTAAATTTAAACATACCTTAATATCCTTGTCTCTATGTTTTACTGAAATTTCTAGGATGGCGGTTTGACACCTCAGATTTCTAGACCTAATCCTCCCAATTTTGGTCCTGGTTTTGTCAGTAAGTACAGATTTAATAATTTATTGCATGCTAATGTTTAATTCTACAGTTCTGTTTTCTTTATAATACAATATCCATAAATGGGTCCTATCTATCAAAAATTAATCCTTTCTAAATGTAGTCAATTAATCATTACAGTTCCAACTAATAAAGTGTTGCATAGTAAGCACTATTAATATTTTTTTCTAGAAGCTACCCTCAAAGAAACACCTTAAGGAAAGAGGGAAAAACAAAAATAGCATTATTTGGATTTGTGAGAGAATAGTAATTATTAACTGACAGACTACTATGTCAAAAACCTATTGTGTTGTAATATCCTGAACTCAGTGAGAACAACAGTCTATATTGACGGGTTTTTTTTAATTTTGGAAGCAAAAGTTTTGTGCAGCATCATTGTAATTTTAACAACTTTTTAAAAAAAAGCTTTCCAGGCACTAGACAAGACTAGGAATCACAATTGCTGAAAGCAGGAATATATAGCACTAGTATTTTGTCTTCCTTGTTTCTGGTTGCCCTTGATCACTGGTAAGTCCTAGCCTCTATGAGAAGGAAGATTTATTAACAGAAATTAAAACTGAGCAGATGTTGGGAGAGGGAAGACCACATGTAAAAAAATGTTTCTATCACTGCAAAAACTTTACTCGATATTTATGGATAAGAATCAAAAGTGAACACCTTCACCTTTTCCAGAAACGGGAGCAGCAGGACTGAGTATGCAATAAGGAGCTTTTTCAATATTCTCTGTATTAATTTCTGGTGAGACTTGACATAGCAGTCAGCAATGGCCTCACTCTGATTGAGGTGGTGGTACTTATAAGCACTTGATACAAAGCTGTTTCTCATTTCAGCAGTACTTATTCTTACCTGGAACTTGTTAATATTTTGGTACTTCCATTTGCACTTTTGCATTGCTCTCATCTGCAGTTGTTCTCCATCATTTCTACTCAGTTGTCCCTTCAGGTGGTGTGATTAGTTTTGCAGAATTTATCGTTGAAAGAGTGGGCACTCCTGGAGACAATAGAGGCTGTCCTAGCTCTGTGAATTGATTTTCTTGAGCCGTTAGAGTCAGTGGCTGTCACTACCACCAGAAGGTGGTAGGAACTGGAGCACAAGGAGGACATGATTATACTGAATTTATCCTGTTGTGTGGCTATCTTTATTAACCTTACTTTCTCCACAAGAAAGACCCGTGCCATATTCCTGCTTACCCAGCTCGTTGCCACAATGCAATTAGGAGACAAATGATACCATCACCAGATCTTTTCTGGGCTTAGTGCAGATCAAGTGTTGTCAGACATGATTGTTTTGCCTCGAGAAAAACATCTGAGAGCAATAGACTGTTCATAGCAGATGAGCCTTTGTAAAAAGAGTAATGTCTGTTACCGCCCAAATGAGAGGGCATTTGTTTGTGGGGAGGAAAAGGCACTGTTGCTGAAGGCCCTGTATGGAGGACTGACAAAGTTATTTTTGCACAGACAGTATCTTTCTTTCATTTCATGGATACCTGATGGATGTTTATAGTTTTAATGTTTTTCTGAGAAGTAGGAATAAACACATTTTTTCATATGAACAAAACTCTTCTGCAAACACCAGAATTAATGAGGCCATGTTTTTTCTTTCCCTCTACCTCCATACTTCCAAAGGTCTTCAGCGTCCCCTCTTTTGTGGCAGAGCAGGATACCACCAGGTTCTGTAGCTGCTTTCAAAGCAGCTACTGGCTAGCAATTGCATGTTTCCTGGTTTGAGAGCAGGATGGTGCCTCTTGAAATTAAGAGACTGTGTTAAAACTGCTTTCTGTCTATAAATGCAGTAATAAGGATCTCTGTCTCCTTAGCTCAGATCACTCCAAGAATTTTGTATCTCTTGAAATACCAAAGCCTCTGTCAAATTTGGCTGAACTTAACCAATGGTTTCTTAAAATATGGGGGAACCTGGTGGTTAAACTTCATCTCTGGAGAGTAGGATAAGAGCTCACCTTCAGGATGAGATCATATCATACTTATTTTCCGTTCTTTTTAGATGATTCACAAAGAAAGCAATATGAGGAATGGCTGCAAGACACACAACAACTTCTTCAAATACAACAGAAGTACCTTGAGGAGCAAATTGGAGCACACAGAAAATCCAAAAAGGCACTCTCAGCAAAGCAGCGTACAGCCAAGAAAGCTGGCCGTGAGTTCCCAGAAGAAGATGCAGAACAGCTTAAACATGTTACTGAGCAGCAAAGTATGGTCCAAAAACAGCTAGAACAGGTAATAATCAGGAACCCAAACTTAACACCTTAACACTGAGCTGTCATACTGGTATGACTCTTTTCTTTAAATCCTCTGTAAGGCAAATTGAAACACTTACATACAGTGGAGCTTATTTAACTCCCTGTCATATTTTGTCATACAGCATAATGTCATATTTTGTGTAACAGCATCACCCTGGATTGCTGGGGACACTGGAGTTGAAGGAGCATATGCTATGGCAAACATTATGACAAAAAGATGGTTTAATACTTCAGGAAGAGGGGAAATGGCTTGGCAACATGACTTGCCACAGAGTTTCTGGCACCATGAAAAGCATAAATGAAAGATTCAGAGGAAAGCCTTAGCATGCAGGGCTTTGTTTCAGGCTTGAATGAATCTCGTAACTCAAGTCTTTTTCAGGTGTCCTTCCATAATCAGAACCTCTTGGTTATATGACAGTTAAATGTTACTGTTTGAAATCCCTTTCCATTCTATCTTTAGTTTAGTTTTATGATCTGTCTAGTTCCTAGACTCTGATCCTTTGTGTGTTATCTGTTATTGTATCATGGAACAATATGGGCCAAAGAGATACCTGGAGATCATCTGGTCTACTGATCAAAGCAGAACTAGCTTCACAGTTAAATTAGGTTGCTCAGTGCCTTGTCAGTCAAGTTTTGTAAGTCTCCAAGGGTAGATATTTCTTAGCCTCTCTCAGCCCCTGTTCCAGTGTGTAACCAGTTTAACTGGGTTTTGTTTTTCTTTCTTTAAAATCGGTTGGAATTTCACTTGCTACATCTGGTAACTGTGATTCTAATAAGTCAGATTAATGTTAAGCCTGTAATAGCTTTGATAAATCTGTGCTTTGGCCAACAGTATTGAATGCTGTGTTCCTCAAGAGATTGTTTATAAATTATCTAGCCTGACTGTCAGGATCAACTAGACGTGCTGAACATGGAAATGCTTTAGAATTATCCTTTAATAATATGAGGGGGTAAAATTTGCCACAGGCTTCTTGGAATGAAGTTCTAAGTGATATCTAACCCTCACGTTTTTTGCTCCTGGGTCTGCACTGGGTGGAATATTAGTTGGCTTGTCTTCTCACTGTGAGGAAGAAGGATGAAGCAGATAAATTATGTCTACATCATTTCTTCCTTTTTCTTTTTTTCCCTTCCACAATGAGTTACAAGTAGAATAAATGCAAAAAAAATAATCACTTTAACCAGTCTTTATCAAACACACATCAGCCTAGTTTTATGGTGGAATTATGTTGAAGTAACAGCTGCTAACCGTGACATTGCAGGTGCATTTAGTGCCCCATAATTAAGGATATTTTTAATTCTTAAACTTAAGTTTCACATAGGTGTCCCTGCCCATGCCAGGGGGGTTAGAACTGGATGATCTTTAAGGTCCCTTCCAACTCAAACTATTCTGTGATACTGCTGCTAAGTTCCCTCTACTTCCCTTGTCAAATGGTGACAGCCCTTCAAAAACTCATTTAGACCAGTCACCCTCATCCTAAACAGCAGCTTATTACATACCTAATAGGAGCTTAAATAAAGTTACATTGAAGTGTGTTCTTAAGAACCTATACGAAGCAATTCACCACTCTCTGAGTTCAGATCAAGTAATTTTTCTGCAATCAAGTTTCTCTTAGTTTTTGAAAAGGGCAAAGTGCAGATGTTTTCTTTATATATCTCTAGGGAAAAGAGCTCTCAAATCCCTGGTGCTGGACACAGGCACAGAGAAACAGGAGCTGGCTTGGTGCAACATGAGCTCCTGTCTGACAGAGTTGTGAGCTCAGGCACAGAGCTCTGCAGGCACTGTCAGATTGTCTCTGGGGCCTGGATAGCTCAGCTGCTTTGGTGTGGCCCAGTGCCTGTGAGCTCTGCCTTGATCTCCTCTCTACTGATAAATTCACCAGGTTGATCTGCACAGGTCGGCTCAGGTCCAGCTGAGTGTAGTTAGTGCTGGTCCTTTGAGATCTCCACTAACTCCAAGTGCAGCCACGTGGCTGATCCTGGGAGGGTGTTGTGGTTTGGATGCCTCCTTGTCTAGGCGTACAGAGCCAACACAGGTTTAGTGCTCTGTACCCATGGAGAAGTCCTGGAGCACTGGAGTTTGCAGTTCCCACCTGTTCCCAACTGTTGTTGTCCTGTGTGTGGATAGGAGCTGCAGGACAAGGATCAGTTTTGGTTTAGCAGAGTGCAGTCTTGGTACATAATCAGAACTTTGAGGCACTGTTATTTTTTCTAAAGTTTTGGGGTGGATAGTGTTTCTAGTGAAATAAAGACAATTTAGCCTTACAAAGAGGGGGAAAAGAAGACTGTGCAGAAATGCTTGTTTTGCTTGAGGTTCATTGTCTACTGAAATTACAGTGGTGAGTTACATACTTTATGCTGCTTTTGTAGTCAGTACATGTCAGAGATGAATAATGACTCTTTTAATGTTTAGATCCGGAAGCAGCAGAAGGAGCATGCGGAACTAATTGAGGAATATCGGATCAAGCAGCAGCAGCAGCAGCAGTGTGGGATGGCCCCCCATGCCATAATGCCTGGTGTCCAGGCTCAACCACCAATGGTTCCAGGAGGAACATCACCAGCAATGAATCAGCAAAACTTCCCCATGGTGGCACAACAGCTCCAGCATCAGCAACACACAGTGGTCATCCCTGGGCAATCCAACCCAACCAGAATGCCAAATTTGGCTGGGTGGCAATCTGCAAATGCCCCTGCAAGTCACATGTCCATGAATCCAGCAAGGATGCAGCCTCCAATGACACCGTTGCCGATTACTCCTGGTACACCAGCTCCCGTGCCTGGTCCAAATGCAACTGCACAGTCAGGGCCACCACCACGGGTGGAGTTTGAGGACAATAACCCCTTCAGTGAAAGCTTTCAAGAGCGGGAAAGAAAGGAGCGTTTACGGGAGCAGCAGGAACGGCAGCGCATTCAGCTGATGCAGGAGGTGGATCGACAGAGGGCTTTACAGCAGAGAATTGAACTAGAGCAGCATGGTATGATAGGGTCTGAATTAAACAACAGAACATCCTTATCTCAGATACCTTTCTTCAATTCTGACCTACCTGGGGATTTCGTACAAATTCCGCGACCTCTTCAGCAGTCTCCGCAGCATCAGCAGCAGCAGCAACAAATGGGGCAAATCCTGCAGCAAGGTTCTATGACCTCGCCTCCTGCCACAAATTTTATGCAAAGCAGTGAGAGAAGGCCAGTGGGACCTACAACTTTTGGACCTGATGCATCTGCTGTTCCAGGTGGAGCCCCGAATTTCCATAATGTAAAGCAAAGTCATGGGAATCTCCCTGGGGCTGCCTTTACGCAGAACCAAGTCAGGCCTCCGTTTTCCTCTGCTGTACCTTCACCTACAGTGCTTAATAGTGGTACCCCAGGTGATTCGGACACTAACGTGCCCCAGGGAACAAACTTCCCTGGATCCAGCCAGTCTCTCATACAGCTGTATTCTGACATAATCCCAGAAGAGAAAGGAAAAAAGAAAAGGACGCGAAAAAAGAAAAAGGACGATGATGCTGAGTCAATAAAAGCCCCGTCAACTCCACATTCAGATATAACTGCACCGTCAACTCCAACCATTTCTGATGCTACCTCCACCCCCACAGTTAACACCCCCAGTGAACTTTCTCGTCATCAAGATGAACAAGAGTCAGTGGAGTTAACAGGCCCATCAACATCAAACTCAGGAGAGAGCCAGACCTCTCCAGAGCTGGAGTGTAAGGTCCCCAGCAGCAGCCTGCCCCAGAAGCAGCCCAGTGTCAGTACAGACACTGAAAAGGCTAAAACAGACACACCTACCAGCATTCAAGAAGTTAAACTAGAAAAGGCAGAAACTGATCAATGCTCAGGTCAAGCTGAGCCTAACCCAGAAAATCCCAGCAGTATTAAGGTAGAAGAAGATAAGGTCACATCACAGCCTGTCCCTTCAGCTCAGAGTCCAGCACAACCAGCGAGCGTTCCAGCAGCGAAAGGGGAGTCAGGGAATGAGCTGCTGAAACACCTGCTTAAAAATAAGAAGTCCTCATCTCTTTTGAATCAGAAGTCAGAGAACAGTGGCCAACCAGAAGAGGAGGCTTCTGGGGATAAGAAGATAGCAGAGAAGCAGAATCCAGCTGAAGGAATGGTGAGCCTGTTACTGGTTTATACAGTGGTCATCAACAGTGAGAGCTTAGTTTGTGCCTTTACTGTGGCCATTTGTGAAAAGGTGGGGAGATACCCTACGTGCACAAGGGTGGAATAAACAGGTTTAAGCAATTTTTACCTTGCTACCTGGCTTTTCTCCATGAAATCCGTGTTACTGAAGGAACAGGTTTTATTAGGAGTTTGTAGATTGGTGTATTCAGAGATTGTTAAAATGAAAAAAGTATTTTTTCTGTAGATAATAATCTTAAAAATTGCCATTTCCTAATATTTACCAAGATTAAGGCAAGAATTTACAATATAGCTCTTAATTACCTACTAGTATGTTTCTGTACAGTACATGCAATGTCTGTATGCTGCTTTCTTCTGTGAATCCACCTTAGTAATGTACAAGATGAGCTGTGTACCTTTGCACAGGGTGGGCTTCACACACCCTTCAGCTGCACCATTTGGAGTGTTCCATGAATGAACCAAATCCTTGGTCATTTTCCACCTATGAAAATCCTATATTGTCTCTAATTTTAGTAGACTATGCTCTAAGGTTTTTATTAAAAGTATGAAATTGTTACATCTCCTAAAATTGCTGGATTTCTGTGTTACAGAATATTTCTGTAATGAAATTTAGTTTAATGGAAGGAAGCATTTGTTCTTTATATTAATGACATTATATGATTTAATAATGTGTAAGGGTCTTAAAAACAGACCTAAAGAAGATTGCTTTCTATGGAGGTAGGGTACACTTTACACTTAGATAAGTTGGTTGTTTTGTTTTAATCTTTAACCTCTACTCAGTTTTGTTTTATGACTGCCTAAACTCTAAATACATCCCTCAAATGAAACTTAAACACATAGAAAATGAATGAAGAGTAATAAAAATACAGGTAATTGTGAGCAGCAGGTAACCTATGGAAGTGTTAAAGATCCACAGGTAAAATATATATGGGTGGAATAATGGTGAGAGGACTTGCAGTAGAGGTCATGCTGAGCAGTTTAATAACTGATAAAAAGAAATGGGACTTTTAACTTGCCACTCTCTGTTGCATTGCCAGGTCCCACTCTGATTGCTTTTAGGCAAATATCCTTTTAGGTGAAGAATGGCTTTGCAAATTCCTGCTAAAAGTATGTAGGCAAATGGTACAATCCAGAAGTGTTTCACAGTACTGGATTTGTTTCTCACCTCAAAATACAATTGTATTCTGTTACCTTACATGCCTCTTTTCTGAAGCCAAGCCTGCCTTTCATTATGCCCTGGTGAAAATCTCTAAGGTTCCATGCACATGTAACTTTATTTTAGGAGGTATTCAGAAGAAAATGCTTCTGGTCTATGAGTGTTTAATGATGTTTTCAGATGTCAGTGGTGTTAATGATAAGTCATAATTTTGTGTATAGGGACAGTGCAGCAGTTACATTTGCCGGTGAAACAGCAAAGTAAACAAATCATGAAATACAATTAATTAGGATTGAGATTTACTGTACAGGGTGTGTTCTTTTAGACTGTCATGCTGTAAATTTGGACAACCTGTATATTAAAATGTCAAAAATTCAGCTTAACTTTTTTTTCATTATTATTATTAAATACCAGCAAACTGCAGGAAACCAGATGCAAGGTGCATTTGGGTGTAGTAACAGCCAGCTTCAAAGAGCAGATGTAGGACCTGAGACCAAGAAACAGAGAAATAAGAGAACTCAGAGGACGGGAGAGAAGGCAGCTCCTAGGTCCAAGAAAAGAAAAAAAGAGGAAGAAGAAAAGCAAACTATGTACCCTAATGCTGATACATTCATCCAGTTAAAACAGGTAGGTATGGAGATGCTGGGTAATGCATTGGGGGCACTTGGAAAAAATGGACTTCTCATGATGGAAATGAAGTTGATCATTAAGCTGAATTTAGAATACAGGGTGGAGAACATGAGAACTGCCACAAAACTGGGAAATACAAAGTTCTGGTCTTATTTCAATTTGGAAGATCTATTGACATGGCAAGCATCTGATGGTCTCAAGGCCATGGAGTTCCTGTCAGCTCTGGCAGCCTCAGTGGCTGAGCTGGCAGGGAGCTGGAGCTGCAGCTCCAGTGGACAAGGGGACACCTTACTTAACAGAGGCCCATGTTTGATGCAGTTTTCTGATAGTGGGTAAATTCCAATTGTTGTTTTTTTTTAAATTAGAAACCCCTCTGCTGTTATTTGTAGCTCTGCAATGCTCCTGTGATACAGTTAAATTAATTTCTAACTCTTTCTTTTAATGCAGCAGCTTTCTCTTCTGCCTTTGATGGAACCAATAATTGGAGTGAGCTTTGCACACTTTCTTCCCTATGGCAGTAGCCAACTAAATGGTGGAAACCGACTTGTAGGAAGTTTTGGTAGTGCTACTCTTGATGGGGCTTCAGATTACTACTCCCAGCTCATTTACAAGGTAGGGAAATTTGAGTTGCTAGACAAAGACGGTGCAGTGGTGAAACAGTCACCATTTTGTTACTCTCTAAAAGTGGAAAACAGTTCTAGGAGCTGCGTTGTAAACTAATTTAAAACTAGAAGTATTCCTCTTACAAATGGATGCTGAACAGTGAAAATTGTAATTACAGTTTTATGGAGCAGAAAAGGCTGAATTCTCAGTACTTTGTGAAGTCATTGAAAGCATTAAAGCATTTCTTAATGTGAATTAAATGGGAAGTAGACTTCCCTCATTTGTGCTCTAAGCCCTAACTAAGAACCTGTGAACTCTCAACAAAATAGACTGTTGATGAGTTTCTAACAGACAGAATTTAAAACTCAGTTTCTGAGATGGGAGTGTCAATATTGCAAGAGCAGCAAGATAGGGAGCAGACAGAATCAAATTTGCTGCTTGGCTACCCTAATATAAAAACTTAAAAACTAGTGCTGGTTACTCCAGCCTTACATGACATGTAAGCTAAGATTGTGACCCAGCAGAAATGGTTACTCTGGTCAAAAGTGAATAATAAGTATTAGCTTTGCAAGTGTGACTGCAACAAGAACAAATACTGAAGTTCTTACTTAATTTTTATTTCAAATATGGGCAGTTAAGTAAGCTAGTGAGAGGTAGCCTGGAGTGTGAGCTTGAGAGTATCTGCCTCTCTGTAGTAACTGCTTCAGTGAAAGCTCATCATGTGCTAAATGTGAAGTAGGTTTCCTTTGAGTGACAGATGGGTGAGCTGACTCCTTTGCAGTGGAACTGCTCTGTCAGTCTTAAGTTCAGACATTTGCATAGGGCCACGAAGGTGATCAGAGAATCAGATGATCTCCTACAAAGACAGGCTGAGAGGGTTGAGGCTGTTCAGCCTGGAAAAGAGAAGGTTCTGAGGAGACCTCCTAACGGCCTTCCAGTGCCTGAAGGGGCTACAGGACTTTTTACATAGGCTTGTAGTGAGAGGACAAGGAGTAATGGTTTTAAGCTGGCAGAGGGGAGATTTAGGTTGGACATTAGGAAGGAAATCTTTACTGTGAGGGTGGTGAGACACTGGAACAGGTTCCCCAGGGAAGCTGGGGATGCCCCATTCAAGGCGAGATTGGATGGGGCTTTGAGCAACCTGATCCAGTGCGAAGTGTCCCTGCCCATGCAGGGGGGAGGTTGGAACTAGATGATCTTAAAGGTCCCTTCCAACTCAAACCATTCTGTGATTAAATTTTAGGAACTTGGGACTCCCAAACCATTCCTAAAGATGTTACTTGTGCTTTTCTATTAATAATTTTGCTATATATTTTTTCAGTAGTGCTTACTCCTCATGTAAAATGTTGCTCTGATGGTATCACTGATGTCAGAAGAGCAAAGCATTGTGTCTTATTGACAATAATGTATTTGGTCACATACTTGAGAATTAACTATTATTGTTGCTTATCAGTGCTACGTCTTAGTTGTAAAATGATGTCAGTGAGTTATGTTATCTAGTATTAGAACAAGGCAAGTTCACCGTGTGTTCCATGGCTGATTTAGGCTTCTTTAATCTCGTGCAGCAGAACAACCTGAGCAATCCTCCAACACCACCAGCCTCCCTCCCTCCCACACCACCTCCTGTGGCATGCCAGAAGCTGGTCAATGGCTTTGCAACCACCGAGGAACTTACTGGCAAGGCTGGTATGTTGGGAGGTCACGATGGTAAGACTAACACGTATTGTTTGGGTAATAAGTCAGTAAAGTTTGTAGCAAATGACAAAACAGATCACGGGGATGCTTTTCTGTTGGTGTGATCTTTTATAAAACCAGTATACCTAGACTCTTCAAGGTTGTGGACATCATTATCCAGCTTTGTTTTACACGAGTATAATGTAGCCTTCTCCCTATTCCCTTTTAAAAACGTGTGGAGAGGTAGAAGCACTCCTAGGAAATTAAAAGAAAACCAAAACATTATTTTTAATGTCCCGAACAAATGCCTAAGCAGTTAGTTGAAAGAGCTTGAAGGCAGTCTACCCAGACTGTATCAGGTTTTGTATGTATTTTCATATGCTTGTAATTTGGTCAATTAAAATTTCTTTCTTATAAGTAAAACTTTATACTGCCTTTTCATAAGGACTGTTCAGTGACTAAAATCCTTAAAATCCAGCCCTTCTCCTTTCTTTTGCAAAGTTAATGAATCTTTGTTAAGTAAAATAAAAATCCTCTCATACTGGCAGAAGGCACACTTAGAAGCCTTTTGAGCCCTTTCTCCTCAAAATGTGCAGGTTTTTGTAAATATGGAGATAAATAATGAACAGTCAAATTTTTCTGAGCTGCAAGTGGGTGAGAGTGGTGTTAGTGCCTGCTGTGATGCCTTGGTTGTGTCAGGGAGCCACCAGTACCCCAGTACACAGAATGCTTATCAATGGAAGAGCTGTGCAGATGTCTCATGGTGCTGTACTTTTCTCTGCTGTACATTTCTGTTTTCAGTTACCAAAGCTCTGGGACCAAAGCAGTTCCAGTTGCCTTTCAGACCACAAGATGATTTATTAGCAAGGGCAATGGCTCAGGGCCCTAAAACTGTCGATGTTCCTGCTTCTCTTCCAACACCACCTCACAACAATCAGGAGGAATTAAGGTAATTTTTCCTTCACATCTTCAAACATGTATTTGGAGCAGGTTCTGTGATCTTTCAATAGGAGATGAGATTGTGAAGAAACAAAATCCATTATGCACAGCCACACAGTGCAGAAAATGCAATGGGATTATTTGTGCTAGTTAACTATTAGTAGTCCACATGTAGAGAGCAACATGGTGAAATGGGGGATTTCTGCCACTGCTGGACTCTAGACCCTGTTAAATCCTTCAGAATTCATTCCTTTGCTGTCTTAGAAGTGAAAGAAAACTGTATAAACAGATAATTTTTCCTGGAGCAACATGGTGCTGTTGTACCATGATAGTACATGCCTACTGCACCAGACAGCAGTGCTGTGCAAGTGTCAGCCTGAAAACTCCCCAGGTCTACTCAGCTTCTCTTCCTGTGTGAGAAATTCTTGCCTAGAACATGAGTCTCCCCACAAAGTTCTTCCTTTTTGCCTTTCTTTCACTTGCCTAACCAAAAGTTAGGTGGCTTTGAAGCACTGAAGGCTGTGAGTGGATGATGAGGAATGGACCAGTGAATATACTTAAACCAGAAAGTTTAAATAGTAAATACTAATTTTTTACACAGGTAGATGGAGCCAAGGGGAACAGACAGTTCTGTATTGGAGCCTGGGTTTTGATAGTGACTCTGTTTTAAGTTGTGTATCTTTGCCAAGAAACTCCCATGTGCAATGATGTATGGAGACACCCAGAAGTAATGTCCCACCACAGGATTGTGTTCCATGACTAGTAGCAAGGAGCAACTTTGTGATGGTTTCCTGTCATGATTTATAGCTTTGGCTTACCAAAGACTTTTTAGACCATTTCCAAAAGGTTTCCGAAACAGACTTTTTGGGTTTTGTTCCAGGGTTCAAGATCACTGTGAGGACAGGGACACTCCTGACAGCTTTGTTCCTTCTTCCTCTCCTGAAAGTGTGGTGGGAATGGAAATTAGCAGGTATCCAGACTTGTCGGTTGTCAAAGAGGAGAACCCAGAACCTGTACCATCTCCCATCATTCCCATCCTACCTAGCAGTACTGGAAAAGGTGAGTCTGCAGCAGAGCAATCAGTTAGAACTTGGCTTTTTGGTGTTGGGGCTGGTTTTGCATTCATGTGCATGTAGGATTAACTGGGTGTATTTAATTTCATTTTCAGGTTCAGAAGCCAAAAGGAATTACATAAAATCAGAACCCAGTTCAGGAGCGTTACCTGCTTCTGGCTTCTTTGCCTCTCAGCTTGGGCCATCCCAGAATGGTCCTAAGTCTGGCCTTATTTCTGTAGCCATTACTTTACATCCCACAGCTGCTGAGGTAAGAGAAATAAGCTTGTGTTACATACATAAAGTACAACAGTTGTTAATATATTTTACATATAGTGAATCTGAAGGGTTTATAGATAGTACAATAAAGCAGCTTAATAATACCCATTGCTGCTGTCTTGCTGCCTGTCTGATGAAAACAAAGGTATGTTTTTATTATTGTTTTCAGAACATCAGTAGTGTTGTAGCAGCATTCTCCAACCTGCTCCATGTCAGAATTCCCAACAGTTATGAAGTCAGTAACGCTCCAGACGTCCCATCCTCCATGGCAGCCACCAACAGTCACAGAGTGAACCCATCAATGGAGTACAGGCAACATGTTCTGCTGCAGGGTCCTCAGGCAGGTTCCGTGGGACCTGCCAGGATCGTAGGGTCTTATGGACTGAAGCAACCTCATGTGCCATTTCCTGCAAACAGCAATGGTGAGTGGGCATTAACCCTTCCCAGTTTTCAGTACCAAACTGAGTCAGTGTTAATGCATTTCAGCCTCATGCATTCATGCTCCAGAATTTAAAAAAATTGATTCTTGTTTACTGGGGCATGTAGTAAGAGGACAAGGGGTAATGGAATAAAGCTTGAAAAGGGGAGATTTAAATTGGACTTTAGGAGGAAATTCTTCACTATAGGGGTGATGAGGCACTGGAACAGGTTGCCCAGGGAAGTTGTGGCTGCCCCCTCCCTTGAAGTGTTCAAGGTCAAGTTGGATGGGACTTGGAGCAACCTGGTGTGGTGGGAGGTGTCCCTTCCCATGCAGGGGGTTGGCACTAGATGAACTTTAAGGTCCCTTCCAACTCAAACCATTCTCTAATTCTAAATAATACTTTTCTCTTGTTATATGATCATTACATGTGAACCTGCTTTTGATGTTAACTATAACTCAATCAATCAGATCCATCTCTGATTTCTATCACATTATCTACATCACTGTCAGTGAGGCATTTCTTCCAGCAGTACCCAACTTAATTAGATTTTCTTTCTCCAGTGTGATTTTAAATCTATCATTCAGAAAGATTATTCCTATGCTGGAAAGCCTGACAGTTTTATAAGCTTGTGTTCCTATGCTGGTTTAGTTAATTCTTTTCTTATACAAGAATGTGTTTTGCCTTGTTGTTCGCACAGCTGATTTGGGTCTAGTTTGAACAACTTCCCCATCGTGTCATTTAAAACTTGCCTTCCATGCCTTATCCAGCAGGATGCTACTCCTCTAGACCCCTGAAGAACACTGTGACTGCTCATAAATTTGGTGCAATCTGATACAGCTTCTAACAGACGTGTCCACTTCCTAGGTGTTGCTGGCTATAAGGATCACAGCCAGAACCTGGCAGAAGGCTCCGCGCTGAGGCCCCGCTGGTGCTCCCACTGCAAGGTTGTGGTTCTTGGCAGTGGTGTGCGCAAGTCCTTCAAAGATCTGCCCTTCCTGAAGCAGGTATTGCAGGGGAAGGATAATTTCTTGCATGTAATGGTGAATGAGCAAACAAAGAGAACAGAGAGCACAGCTTGTCATGCTGACTAATAACACCGCCAGGTTTCTTTGTAGTCTCCCTTCCATGTGTTCTAATTCAGGGTGGGACATCTGCAGAACAAATGGGAAGTTTCAAAGTTGTTTCTTATATAAAATGCATTTCATTACATTTCATAAAATAGGTGCCATACATGGCAGCTTCCTAAATTCTCCTGCTAACCTCCTTCCATGACCACTTCAGGGACCTTAATTCAAAAAGACCTTGTTTGTAAGGCAGCACCATATTGCCATGTCAGGAATTAACTCTAAGAGCAGGAATACTTGTTCTCTTTTTGAGCAGATTTCACTCTCAGCCTCTTGTGTTTGCACTGGGAACTGTCATTCATTCAAAAAGTACCATTGGTCTTTGAATGAGCTTGAGGTAATTATGTAACAGAGGTGCATAGTCACATTTTAGATATAAAAGTAATGGGTTCACGTAGTCAGAAAAGCACTGAATTCCCAGTAATGTTTTGCAGATGGATCAGTAGATAAAACAGTGTGATCTGTCTTTGATTAGGCTGAAGTCAGACATTCTTTTGCCATCTAAAGATAAAAGAAAATGGATTTTGCTTTGCAAGTGTGCCTACAGAGCAGATGGGAGCATGGTGTAGGATATTTTTATCCTTAAACTTCTGTTAAAGACAAGAAATGCTGAAGAAGGAGGCTGTAGGTGGTGGTAATGTTAGGTCTGTCAAATAATCAAGTATTTATATCACAGCATCGCTCATTATTTCACAAATGTTCTACAAACACCGAGTTTCTAGCCAGACTAGAGGCCTTGTTTCATTACACTTATTATGTGAAGAGTGGTATTTAGATACACTCCTGATAATCTTCCATATTTGATTCCCAGGATTCCCAAGAAGGCTCTGATAAAATGAAGGACGTTGTATTCTGTAGCAACAACTGCTTTGTTCTTTATTCAGCAGCTGTGCAAGCAAAAAACTCAGAGAACAAAGTAAGTATCAAATGCTGGCAGACCCTGCTGAGCAGAAATTATTGCAGCTATTTTTTAAAGAACAGGAAGGGGGTGAGGGGGAAGTTTGCACTTCATTTTAGAGGTTTATAAATTAATGGCTCTATATTAGGCTCTATATCTGAACCAGCAGCATGAAGTAAAATTCATACTTGCAAAACTTTGAGTCTGACAGAGATGCAAGGCAGAACAGTCACCACCTTTTGCTGCCCTCACAGGCTTTGAAGATTGAATCTCAAAAAAGTAGTAATTTAAGTTGTCTGGGCATTGTACAAAACCATAGGTTCATCTTGAAGGGCTTTATTCTGCATTTTGATTTGCCTTATGCAGGAAAAAAACAAAGCCCACTGTTCAAAAAAGTAACTGAACAGCAAGTTTACAAAAAGACTTTTATTTATTCAAGAGTAACTGGGAAAATACAATCTCTTCCTGTTACTTTATTTGGGCAAAGCTGTGATTTTAAAGCACTAGTTACTGAAACACTAGTAAAGAGCCTGCTAACTAACAGCAACAAGGAAAAAGAGGTTCTAGTAACTCAAGAAAGACATTTTAAGAAACTTGTTCAACTGAAGGTGTAATTAGGCAAGGGATTTTTCTCAGGTGGTACCAAATAATGTGCTGTACTTTACAGACACTGCGAGGGGTTTACACCAGCTGAGAGGAACTCAGCACTTCCTCACAGGGCCTTATCTCTTGCTATGTCCAGGTTCATTCAGTTTCAAAAGAAAATAACTTAAATTTATCTCTGTTCATTTAATTGTTAAAAGTGATAGTCTGTATTCAAGACTAAAACTTTGTTTTCTCCAAGATAAACTTTTGAGTACTTTTACAACTAGCTTGGCCTTTACTTTTTCAAGTTCAAATGTACCTTTTTTCCCCTAATCCAGTGGACAGAACAGGCCATGTGCTTCCAGCATCACCTAATTAATACTTTCTTCAAGGCCTGTATTTGTTGTAGAATTTACAGCCTTCCTTCAAATGCATCCCACTTACTTTTTCAGAAGAAAAAATAATTTTAAAAAGCCCTGGAAGAGAACATAGATGTGTGTACATCCACATGCTTTTAGTGTCCCACGTAGCTCATTTTCACTAGTACTTTAGCAAGGTAGTATTTCTGCACAGGTACATCAGCATGTACAAAATAAGTTAATTAAATATCATGTTAAGCTTCTTGGTCCTTTCATTTACTCTTTCAAGATTCATCATAGAAACCACATTAAGCACTTTTTAACCCAAACTTCCTTTGTTGTTCTTGTTTTCTCTCCTTTTTTGAAACAAATCTCTGCAGCTATAGTTCTTGTTTACTGACTGAATGAGTCCTCAGTTGTAGCTAATTTAGAGCCCTGCAGGAATTTCCTTCTCACTTGTTTCCAGGAAAAATATGTGGCATTAATTCCAAATCTTCCCCTTCTACCAAATAACGAGATTCTTACTCTTTACATTAATTCCATGACCTGTATTTTCAAGTTATTTCATGTCACTAAATTTTCTAATACCTAAGAACTAACTCTGTTAAAGTAGTTCATTTAGGGCAATTGACTAAGTTTTAATTCAAGACCTGGACAAAGAATTATTTGTGCTTCCTCTTCTGTCTCAAAGGGCACCACATTCTAGGCTGACTGAGAGAACTTCTTTGCTCCATATCCTGGCACAAGTGTGGTAACATGGGTCAGGGTAATTCCCATCTTTCTCTCTTGCTCCATCATGATTTTATGCATGCTCAGTAGCCTCTTCCATGCTGCCCTGACAGTGCTTTCAAGAGACAATAACTGGTTAACAGGTTGGGATTTATTTTCTCAAAGAGTTTTCTGTTCATTTACCAGGAATCGGTTCCGTCTTTGCCACAGTCGCCGATGAAAGAGAGGCCACCTAAAGCATTCCACCAGTACAGCAACAACATCTCCACTTTGGACGTCCACTGTCTGCCTCAGCTGCAGGAAAAAGTTTCTCCACCATCCTCACCTCCCATCATGTTCCCCCCTGCATTTGAAGCAGCCAAGGTGGAGGCAAAACCGGATGAGCTGAAGGTAACAGTGAAGCTAAAACCGAGGTTAAAAGCAATACACAGTAGCCTTGAGGACTGTCGGCCTCCAAGTAAGAAATGGAAGGGAATGAAATGGAAAAAGTGGAGCATTCAGATCGTGATTCCTAAAGGATCATTCAAATCTCCTTGTGAAGAAGAAATAGATGAATTTCTTAAAAAACTGGGCACAACCCTTAAACCAGATCCTGTGCCTAAGGACTACAGGAAATGTTGCTTCTGTCATGAGGAAGGTGATGGATTAACTGATGGACCAGCAAGGCTTCTTAACCTGGATTTAGACCTTTGGGTCCATTTGAACTGTGCTCTTTGGTCTACAGAAGTCTACGAGACACAAGCTGGTGCCTTAATAAATGTGGAACTAGCCCTGCGAAGAGGCTTGCAAATGAAATGCATGTTTTGTCACAAAATGGGTGCCACCAGCGGTTGTCACAGGTTAAGGTGCACCAATATTTATCACTTTACCTGTGCCATTAAAGCACAATGCATGTTTTTTAAAGACAAGACCATGCTTTGCCCCATGCACAAACCAAAGGGAACTCATGAGCAGGAACTTAGCTACTTCGCAGTCTTCAGGAGGGTCTACGTTCAGCGTGACGAAGTGCGGCAGATCGCCAGCATCGTCCAGCGGGGAGAACGTGACCACACTTTCCGTGTGGGAAGCCTGATTTTCCATGCAGTGGGTCAGCTGCTGCCACAGCAGATGCAGGCCTTCCACTCCTCCAAAGCACTCTTCCCCGTGGGCTATGAGGCCAGCCGGTTGTATTGGAGCATGAGGTACGCGAACAGACGCTGCCGCTACCTCTGCTCCATCGAGGAGAAGGACGGGCTCCCCTTATTTGTCATCAAGGTTGTGGAGCAAGGCCACGAAGATCTGGTCCTTACAGACACAACACCAAAAGGTACATTTTGTGAACCAGGATCCTGAGTTTTGTGGGTTTGCTGTTTTGTTGTCTTACTGCTGATACTTGTGGGACAGTAAATGTTTCAAATAGCTGTTCCAGACACTGTTCTGATGTAATATTGATCATGAGCTCCCAGGGCCCATTTTTAGGATCACACTGTGGAGACTGGGGACCCCTCTGAAGAAATGGTTTAAGCTGCAAGGAAGACTTTGTACAGCTTCACAGAGGAGACCCAAGTTTGAGCATTAAAAATGAATTAAAATAGTAGGGATATTAGGGAGGTTTCCTTTCACAAAATGTTACTGTTTAACTGCAGTATCATTACTCAGTTATCTTTAGGTTAACTGAAGATTTTAAGTTATTCAGTGATAGACAGTTGAGTTGACCAGGTTGTTCCTTGTAATGCTCTGGGTCTTAACCCCTTTGTGCTGTGGGTGCTGATGTGCTCAACCTCCCTCTGGGCAGCCAGGGGAATACACCCACCTACACCTTAGTGCTGGCCATAACCAATCAATGGGAATACCAGATACAGTTAATCTTCAGGAGATTCTACTTTGTGAAGGTTTTCTCAGGAAAACCTGCATTATTGTTATCAGGGGACTGAAAGTTTCCAGTTCTGAATGCTTCATTCCTGAGAATCAAGGGCACAGTAAAAATGTGCTTGTTTGGGATTTGTTCAGGACAAAATACCAACTCACCAAATAATTCTTCATGTTTGTGTGTGCAACCAACATCAAAATGCTTTTTCATGATTGGTTTCTGGCTCATGATGTCCTCAGGCTTTCCTTTTAAAACCAGTATGACAGACTTTTTTTTTTTTTGATCACTGTAATTCTTTCCCATATGGTTGTGTAGGTGTGTGGGATAAAATCTTGGAGCCCGTTGCTTCTGTTAGGAAAGAATCTGAGATGCTCCAGCTATTTCCTGGCTATCTGAAGGGTGAAGACCTCTTTGGTTTGACAGTCTCTGCAGTGGCCAGAATTGCCGAATCGGTGAGTCTTCACCATCCTGGTTAGAATCATAGGACCAGTAAGGTTGGAAGAGCCCTTCAAGTCCAGCCATCTGTCCTACACCCCCGTGACTGCTAAACCATCTCCTGAAACACCCTGTTCACCCATTTTTTGAGCACCTCCAGGAATGGTGCCTCCACCACCCCCCCAGGCAGCCCATTCCAATGCTTCACCACTCATGTCAGTGAAGAAATATTCCCCAGTATCCAACCCAAACCTCCCCAGTTCTTGCTGGATTGCCCCAGCTTGTTGGATGTACCCATGAGAATGGAACCAGGACAAAGTGTGGTAAAGTAAATGTTTCATTACACACTCTTCACGTGTAATTACTTGGATTTCTGTTTTCTTCTTGTATCTTTCTGTGCAGCTGCCAGGGGTTGAGGCCTGTGAGAACTACACTTTCCGCTACGGCCGAAACCCCTTAATGGAACTCCCTCTTGCCATCAACCCCACGGGCTGTGCCCGTGCCGAGCCTAAAATGAGTACCCATGTCAAGAGGTTTGTGTTAAGGTATTTTGTTTTAATTTCACATAGTACAGCCCAGGGTTTATAGGCTGCTTAGGGTTATTTGTGCTTTCGTCTGCTGCTTACAAACCCTGTTGTCCTTGGCTGTGTATGTGCATGCCCAAACCAAAGGCACTGCTTTGTCGTCTGCGCTAGCTGGCTTTCAGTGTCTGTGCGTCTACAAGGAATTTTTTTTTAATGGGTTTCCAGGCTGTTTTCAGAGAAATCTTCAGTTTTCCTTGTATTCTTTCCCGTTACATGCCCAATTCCTACAGGCCTCACACCTTGAACAGCACCAGCACATCGAAGTCCTTTCAGAGCACAGTCACGGGGGAGCTGAACGCGCCATACAGCAAGCAGTTCGTCCACTCCAAGTCCTCTCAGTACCGCAAGATGAAAACGGAATGGAAGTCCAACGTCTATCTCGCTCGCTCGCGCATCCAGGTCAGGCCTCAGCTCAGGAAACGTGCATTTAAAAAGTCTACTTACACCTACTTTTCTATCCATTTTGAGAAAACATTGTATTTTGTCTGTATGTTATATATAAAAATATACATATTTATATTAAAAATTGTAACTAAAGCTCTCACAAAATTCCTTCGAGTCTTATCCCAGAATTGGCAATTCTTGTATGGCAAATCACTTTCAGAGATTTATAGCTGTAAAAAGATACAGAGGGGAGATTCAGGCTAGATATTAGGAAGAAAATCTTTCCTGTGAGTCAAGTTTTTGGTTTGTTTTTTTTAGGTTATTTCTCTAAAACTTAATAAAAATACAAATAAGCAGTGGCAGTGTGACATGCTCAGACCAAGTAAAGTGGTATGAGACTGGCAGCAGTTCAGTGCTTGTCTGTTTATAATAATAAACTTGTTGCTTTATGTATTTGTTGGTGATTTGCTGCACAGCCTGTTTTGCTAAAGCTTTGTAATGAATCTTGCTGTGTGTGAACACGGGTCTGTATTTTAGGTTGGACTTCACTGTGTTGCTGTGTTCTTAGTAGGTTTCTCCGTTCTCCTAAAGGCCACTTCCCTTGTCAGTGAATTTGTAATCTTTACACAGGCAGGTGTCAGAGCTGTAAGAGAAACTTTCTCACCCCAACAGAAGCCACGTACGTTTTCTTCAACCTTAAAGATTTAATGTAAAGCTGGGTTCTGCATCTGGGCTGTTAAAACATCAGTTACTTATCTGTCCTGCTTGGTTCTTTCTGGGCAGTTTACTTCCCACGTGATTTTCTGCAGGCACACGGTGAGGAACATAAATGTAATTTTATGACAGAATTGTAAATTGCAACATATTTTTCATAGGGCCTGGGCTTATATGCTGCTAGAGACATTGAGAAGCACACCATGGTCATTGAGTATATCGGAACTATTATCCGGAATGAGGTAGCAAACAGGAAGGAGAAGCTTTATGAATCTCAGGTATGGGCGATGTGTTTTGACTTTTCTTTCTCTTTTCAGATGTTCACATAACACACCACTGCTGTTCTGCTGGATTAGTTCAGGCCCCCTGATTTCTGTTTTCTGCTGTGCTATAAAAGGAGTAGGCTAAAAATACAACCAGGGGAGTTGACAGTGTTTCTTAAGAAAGGATCATTAAACACTTAAATGTTCAATAAATCTCACAGCACCCTCCTGGCCAGGTGGAGGTAACACACACCCTCTGTCCCAGAGGCCAAAGGGAGAGCTCTGACAGATGTCTGGACCACAGTGTTTAATGAGAACTTCTTCAAAGTCTATCTCTGTGGTTTTGCACCAGTTAGGACACTTTTGGGAAGCCTTTCAAGACCCGAGGTGAAAGGCAGCACAGCAGCTGTTGGGGAAATAATAATTCTCCAGAGATCCCTGTTTATGACCCCCCTGTTCCCTGGCACAGCAGGGAGGGCAATGGCAGCATGACACTCACCCTTTCCCTCGAGAGCCCATGGGCAGGGTCTGATCCTGAATGCAGGAGGACACGTGGAGGTGACCCATGTTGCTGCTTCCTTTTGTGAATTGACAATTCTGTCAAATCTACAAGAGTCTTTTTTCCAATTGTTTTCCAGAACCGCGGCGTCTACATGTTCCGCATTGACAATGACCACGTCATCGATGCCACCCTGACAGGAGGTCCTGCCAGGTGGGTGGCTCTGGAGAGATGCCCGACCTCCTCCTGGGGCCTCATCCACTTTCCCTGGCCTGGGGCTGTTTGTGAGGGGCTCATGTTTGGGATCTTCTCCATGTTTTTTATTCTCTGAGCTGGTACATTCAGCCTTCAGACTATTCCGCTGAAATAATGTCATCTTGTGCATTAGCTTTGCTTGTCCAAGTTTCGTGGCAGACAGGAGGAAAGAATGGAAACTTTGTTAACTCTTGATTCTTTTTGACATTTTCTAGGTAAAGAAACAAGTACAGAGTAATATAATTATATCTGGAAAGTCAGTGCACCCCTGGAGCTAAGGTCCTCCTAAGGTTTGGCTTAGATTTGCCTCCAGGGCAGCGCTTCCTTACGAGGTTACCTTTTTCCACCTCTGTTTTCACAGGTACATCAACCATTCGTGTGCACCCAACTGTGTGGCTGAGGTGGTCACTTTTGAGAGAGGACACAAAATTATCATTAGCTCCAGCAGGAGAATCCAGAAGGGGGAGGAGGTAGGGTGCTCTCCCTTGCCTTTACTTACATGTTGCTACCTGCTTTTACTTCTGGATACTTGGGTGATTTCCACGGCCAGTAGCACAACCTGTTTGTGCTGGGGTGAGGGAGAGTGGCTCTTCCCTCCCCCTTTCCTTTCAAATCTTCCCAGTTCCCAACAGTGCAACCTCTGGTATATTTTGCTGCTGAACCCAGGGGT